AACATACAAATACTCCCGAAACCACTGTTGTTTTCAGCCATTGCAAAGTTTTTAATAGCAATTCTTAAAGTGCTTGAGTAGTACGGCTTGGAATTCAGAGGGAGATTTACATAGCTGTGACATGTTCTCCTAGCAGTGATTCCCAGACTTTTTGAATTAATGGACATTTAGAATTTGAGACTTTGGACACTGACAGGGCAAGAGAGAATTGAAAACTACCACCTACTGTCACACCATTAAAAAAATAAGTCAGTTAAATCCCACCTCTTGCTACTCAGAAACAAAACAAAACAAAACAAAAAACCAAGTCAGGATTTAACACCCTCAACATTTTGTCAAGGATTAGCAGGACAGAAATAGTAAAGAACAACATTTTTCTGATTGATGAGCACCTTTTGTCTAATTATTTTATGTGTCTAAAATATTTTATGTGTTGGAGGGTACCCAAATTTGTTCTCCTTTAGTGCTTGGAATACTCATAGGCATACCCATGAGTATTACTAGTATTAGTTCAACCAAAGGGCTATGATAGCCAGAACACAGAGCCACAGTTCAATCAAAGCCTTTCTAAAATTGTGTCTCCCCCTGAATCTCTGAAGCATCACAGTGGTTTCTGATCACAGCAGTTATCACAGCACTGATATCACACAGCTGGAGTATCACAGTAGAAACAGAGGAGTATCTCTAGGCACAGCAATAAGATGCAAAAAAGTCTAATACAGAGACTTTATGAAATACACTCAAATGGAGCTGGCAAAGACTTCTTCACGACTTACTCTCTTTTGATTCCCTATTCCATTTGTAGTTCAATTTTTAATTTTCCATCCTCACTCTGTCTAGCTTGATGACTACTCACTTCAACTGCAAAAGTAATATTGATTTTTAAAAACATTCACTGTATAATGAAATATAAACCCAATAAATATTAGTATAATTCTCATAGCTATTTCAGTAAATCCTGCAGCCCAGGCTAATAATTCCATTACCATTTTCATTTTCTTAGGTTGTTTTTCACTGAATATTAACTTAATAGATTGAATTATTATAGATAATAAAAAAACTAAATTTGAAAATTTAGAGCATTCTTTATTCTCTTTACTCTATGAGATAATAGGTAGACACATCTGTATGTTCTAAAATCTCATATTTTAGGCAAAGGTGCTATAACTTGGGGTAGTCTGAAAATGGGTATCATGATAGAAGAAGATACAAATGAGTTACACATGAAAGACATATACTACATTATTTCACATTTGACAAGAAGTATAAAAGGTTATGAAGTTTTCAGATAGATTAAGCAATTATGTTAGTCTTTAAGAAGATCGACAACCTCACAAATGTTTAATCAATACAGGATTGCATGGGGTTTTTAAGTAGAAAACCAAGCAAACTAATGATCAGCGTGATTTGTATTCATGATATGATTAAACATAATATTATGGAGTTTGAAAAATAGATTTCAGGTAAAATGGATATAACGATGGATAATGGAAACATCTGTTAATTCCATTTAGAGTAATAGGTGAATAAATCTTTTTCTTTTATGGGACTATTATAGTAGCCCTTTGCAACTATGTAAGTGGATATAGTTCCCTCCTTTGGTCAGGCAACTTCCCCTTGGCTCTGATAGGTATTCCTTTAACTTCCTGCTATGACATTCATCCTCTCATCTTTCCTCATAAAGAAGTAGATTCCCCTCCTTTCTTCTCTGAGATTTTCAACTTCCTCAAATATGATCAGGTGTCTGCCATCTTAAATATTCCTTCTGGCTTCCTTATGTCCCTCCTTAGATTCTACCATAATACTCTCATTCCTTTCAAAAGGAAGCTCTTTTCTTGAGTTTTCTAGGTTTCTATGTTTATCTACCCCTTAATGTAAGTTCCAATGGATTCCACTCCATCAATTAAGTAAATTGATTTTGCCGAGGCCACCAATGACTTCTCCATTTCTAAATCCAAAGAGTCTTTAATCATACTTACCTTGCTTGATTTTTTTTTTTTTTGGCACCATGTGACACTGTTGACCACTCTTTCCTTAAAACATTATTTCCTTCTAGTTTTTTAGAGGTCATTGGAGTTGAGAGCCCTATCTATTCTACGTAAACTGATTAGTCAATGCCAATCATATAATTTTATTGACTTGCCAGGGGTGGGAAGTCCTTAGCTATTTTGGATCAGTGAGATGTAAGAAGAGGTTTGTTGGGAGATTTAGGGTTGAAAAGTTCTGCTTGTAACAAACAGCTATTGGGAACTTGGTTCTCTCCCTTGATGGATTTGAAAAAGGAAGCTTGTATCTCCAATTGTCATTGGTAGCCCACTTATAATAATAAGAGGAACCAATTTTAGGATAAAGCCAACAGTATGGATAGAAGAGTGGAGAGGAAAAAAAGCCCTAAGTATTTAGATTATATAACTGAAGACTAAATCTGAGGCTTACTCTAGATCTTGATAATCAGCTAAATATTTACTTAACATTCAAGGCTGTTTCCTTTGAATTTTCTAGATCCTGTGGCAGAAAGAACCCTATTGATAAAATTTTGGTTATTCCTTCTCTGTTCTTCCTAAGATCATCCCTTAAATGTTGGTGTTCCATGGAGTTCTATGTCACCATCTGTCTCACTCATAGCTAATTATGACATATATCTGATGATTGCTAAGTTTGTTTCTTCAGCTAACATTTCTCTCCTGAACTTCAGATAAATATATCCAAATATCTACTAAACATTACCACTCAGATACCCTAAATATACCTCAAATCAACACATTGAAACTTAAACTACCTTCTCCTCTTCCACTTCTACTTGGTACTCTTTTTGTACTTCCAATCTCAGTGAATGGCATAAAATCAGTCCCTTGTCCAAATTAGAAACCTGTGTACCAATCATGGAACTTATATCTATCTCCTATATCCTATGTCCAGTCAATCACGACATCATGTTGGCTCACCTTTCAAGAAGATATTGAATCTAGGCATTTCTCACCACCACCCATTGTTTCCATCTACTCTCCCTTGTATTACAAAAGAAGCTTCTTAACTCATTCCATTGCCTTCAGTCTTTCTCCTCTACAATTCATTCTCTGCAAAGCTATCAGAGTGTTCTTTAAATGAAAATTTAATCTTGGCTTTCCCCTGTTTAAGACACTTCAATGCTCCCCTTCTCATTTCCTTCCAAGTAAAGTACAGCATGATCAAACTTCTGTTTACCTTCCGGCCTATTTCACATCACTCCTCTTGACTTCTTTTAGTTTCTTTACTAAACAAGTACCCTTTCCAGATACTCTCATAGCCTTATATCCCAACTTCACTGCCCTAGTCACACTACATTATGTTTATCAGCTATGTTTAATATTGCCCAATAGGCAGATTGATAACATGTGTACTAACATGCAAATCAGGTCATTAACAATTAATTTAGGTAAAATAATGTGATAGTTAATACATATTTTTTAAAAAAGCATTGAAGTAGTCATTAAGAGGAAAATCATCACCTAGGTTACAAAGAAAGTATGTGATTATATATGTAAGTCATGAAGCACAATTATAAAATAAACACTCATGTACTTAAGAACTAAGTGTAAGAGCCACAATTCAATTTAAGAAATAAAACAGTAGCAAGAATAATACAAGTTTCCTCCCTTAGCCTACCCCCAGCCTTCCCTTTAGAGATAACCATAATCATAAATTTTGTTAACCATTCCCTTATAAAAATAGTTTTCTGACTCATGTACTTATGCCTAAACAATTTATTTTTAGTTTTGCTTGTTTTTGAGATTTATAAATATGATAGTTTTGATGTGTTGCATCTTCTGAAACTTGTTTTTTACTCAAATGATATTTCTAAAGTTTATACACATTATCATAATTATGATTAACTACTTTTCATTGCTTTAAAATACTCTTCTGTGTGAACAGCAGAGTTTATTTACATACTTTCCTGGTGGTTGGCATTTGGGTTTTTCCAGTTTTCTACTATTGTAAACATTACAAGTGTCTTGGATAATATCTCAGGAGGGCAATTTTTGGATTGTAGGGTATGTGCATGTTCAGCTTTATAAGATAATTTGATACCAAAGTGATTGTGCTTTTTATTCCTACAAGAACTATAAAAAGGTTTCCATTGTTCTTATAGTTGTAAGCAACCTACATTTTTCAGACTTCTTAATTTTTGTGACTAGTAGGTATAAAATAGCATCTTTTTTTTTTGTATTTCTGATTGACAAAAGTATTCAGTTTTTAAAAATGTTTATTTACTCTCCTAATTCCCCTTGTACTTTACCATTTTTTGTAGTGTTGTATGTCTTTTGTTATTGATTATATGAGTTTTAAAAAATATATTCTGGAATACCAATCCTTTGTCCCTCATATATGTTGCAATTATCTTCCCAGGTTGTGGCTTCTTCTTATTCCCGTCATGATGATATAATATGGTATTATAATTGCCTACCTGTCACTTAGGCTACCTCACTAGACTAAAAGGTCTTTAAGGTAAGACACCACCTTTGTCATTTTTGTTCCCCAGTATCTAGCAAGTGCTCAACACATAGCTGAGCACATACAGTTGCTCAATAAGTATTTATTGAATGAATGACTGGATGAATGAACTGCTATGACTTTGAAAATGGTAAATCAACCTTTTTTTAGCCAAATTTCGTTTTACACAAATTGGCTGCACCATACTGCTAAACTAAAGAGGGTCAGAAGTATGCATTACACACAATCCTGTACTTGCATTTCAAAGGTGGGAGTCAGGCACTAGTAAGAGGTGAGAGTATCTGCAGAGAGGTAGCAGGATATTGTTTATAAAAATTTGTTACCAATTCTTAACATTTGGTAGTGTTCATTTCTTGAGCTTACAGTTAACTAAGCTCCTTATAGTGGGATAAAATTTAGCCTAAATTTATTACAAAATTAGAAATGTTGTTAAGACACAAGATACGGATTACATATTACAATGGATGCACAAGGTTCATGGTTTGTGTCATTAATTTGAAATTGGTTACCTTTTTAGTAATGGTGTCCGGAGGTACATCCCGCCTCCCAAGAGGATAAGGATTCCATTGGCCACTAGGAGATACATCTTCTTGTCCATTGTCTAAAATGTTGCTTTGCTGGGACGGGGTCTATTGCGAAAATGGTATGGCATTCTTTAGTGATGTAATAGAAGTTTATCATAATTTTCTGAAAAGAGTGCCTAGTGACTATGATAAAATTAATTTTGTTTAATTGCAGAAAAACAAATATCCTGAACTGGAAGAATTATTATACACTATTTACTCAGTAAGAATTCTAAATTGACAGCTTTTTGGAAGCAGTGAGAAATTCGATTAAAATAACCGTCTTAGAGTTATTTACTGAATTTTAAAGAAAAGTTTAGATTATTTACAGTACCTGAATAAAAAATAATCAGAATAAAATTAACCAATTGTTAAAAACCACAACATTTAAAACCTGCTTAATTCATTTCTTTAGTATGATCTTACCATTTAGAATATAAACTGAAACCATATAATACATAGTATGTAACTTTCAATATTTCAAACCATAACCTAAAACAAATTTTATAAAACTGTACTGATTCTGGTAGAACATGCCTTGCACTAATCCAACATAGTGTTAATACTAGCATAGTGTAAGATTTATGGTACTATGACATTATCTACAGATTGCTTTTAGGAATATAGGAAAGGAACATCAAAAATATTGTGCTATTAGAATCATGGCATAAATAAATGACTTTTGATTTTAAATTTATTTATATAGATCATTTATGCTTTAAAGTTTAAATTCTTCATATATTTGCAGCTGATTTACTGCTTATTATTTTTAACAAATAATAATACCCCTGTCATTATTATTATTAACATAAGATACCAGGGAGGACTCCACAGTCTGATCTGAGTAATAGCAAATTACACACCATCAGAAAGACAGCCTCCAGTGGAGGGATATAGTACTGGTATATTTTTCCTGTGGAAGCAGATCAACTTTTTTTTATAATTATATATGTATAATCATATACATACTTTCTCCTCCTCTAACCTACAGGATATCCAGATACTCCTTGATTTCCTGGGGAATTTTTATGTGGGTGAGAAATTATGCTCAGTGTTTCCTATGCCATTTTCTGTATATGGTTTGAAGTATCCCTATGGATAAATAAAGCCTAGTTAGAAGGTATATGTGCAGCTCTACTCTGTGGGAGGAACTGTCCAACCCCAGGATGGGAGAACTGGGCCATTCTCTTCACAACATGGCACAGATGGGCTGCTTGGCAGCCGTGATCTGGTTATACAGAGTGGTCCTAGTTGTTTTTTAAAAAACAATTATATAACCATCCAATCTGCATTCTGACTGCATGCATTTTTTTTTAAAGGGATTGCTTGGAACTGTTTTAAAATAAGATTATGACACTAGATGAAGTTTTCCTAAGGTCTAATGGATATAATGAAAAGTAAGGAGTAGCTCAATTTTCTTCTTGTGCTTTAGCCATAAGAATTCCTTTTTCATGAGTCTATCAGAAAATGTGAAAAAAGAGAAAAAAGGTACTGAATTGAAGCATCTGGGTTAGTTAGGGGTGAATTCACTTGAGTTTGTTTGAAAAATCACATGTAGGTAACACATTTAAACTACAGACTACTTGAAAAAAAAACACAGCTATTTAATGCCTGTTTGTTTTCAAGCATTAAACTTCTAGTCTTTTCCTTTTTCAGATTAACATGTTTGTATATGCTCACACACAATTTTTCTAGATATTAAAATATGACAAGTCAAATTATTAAAATTAAGCAGTTAAAATATAAGTTTTCAGGGCAAGCACTACTGACCGGTGTTTTTGTTTGTTTGTTTGTTTTGGCTTCAATTAATGGTTTAAACTAATATCCATGTCTTTCTGGCTTGATTTATTTGCCAGTGAAGTAGGATAATGCATGTGTTCATCTGGTTAGGTGCCTGTGCAAAATCTATTTTTGAGAAGAGGCCAGAATGTAACACAAGTATTCTTTTATTTTCCCCCCATATCATTCTCCTCTCCTTCATATTTCCTCCACTAGTCTTGCCTCAGCTGCCCAGACAGGACTCCTAGTCACAGAGAGCAACTGAAAATTGCAGAATTCTTTTGGTGTTAAAAACAAAAAACAAAAAACAAAAAACACAAAAATCCTTTAGTCAAAATCCTAATATCATGATGGTGGTGTAGGCTCTTCCCTAGTTTAAGAATCAATCTTTCTCTTTTTAAAATTAGAATTAGCAACCACACCAATTCTACAGTACAGGGATCAGAGGAAACATAAACATGCAGACACATGAAAAAAAAAATACTTTTACTAGACACCAAAATTAAAAGAATTTCCTGAAAGCAATTTCCTTTCTCCATTTCAAGAATGCTCTGACGTTTTTGTTTTTCTTAAGTAAGATACTCTGGGGGCTTAAGTTTGGAGAAATAGTAAGACCATGAAAACAGTTTATTAATGTTGGGTGTGGGGGTGTGGTCCAAAGGAAAATTATACAGTGGGTTCACATTCTGTCCCAAAAGATGTATAGCTATTTACAAAAAATTATGCTTTTGATAACATGCTACTGAGTTGTATATAAATGCAGTTGCTTAGTTGTTAAAATTCTATAAAAGATTAAAAGGAACAACTGAAATATGTAAAAAAATGATGAAGCTATCACTGTTGAAATTTGTTATTGCAGAGATAATAAGCAAACTGAGGTTCAGTTATTCATTCAATTATTTCTAGTACCACACTCTAGATATTTTATTTAGATACTTTAAAAAAGTAAGAATGAGTCTTCTTTTCCTCAGCATAAATAACTAGTTAAATATAAAAGACATGGAAAATCACCATAATGCACCATTTTCTCAACTTCTAAATTCTGTAGGTCTTTAAATATTTTAAAAAGAACAGAGAAAATGGTCATTATGATTTAGTGAAAACTCAGAAATTATATTTGTTAAGAAATACACTAATGCTAGGAGAAGTTTTGCTGCAGGGATACAGTCCCAGAAATGACTATGGACATTTGTAGATTTAACATTTATGTTTTTGACTACTGTGGATGACCACAAGTGTCTACTGGAAGAATTAATTTCTAATTTTGCTGAGATGTAAATGTGCGTGAAGATCTGTGCTATACATGTACATATGTGTGAGTGTGTGCATGCATGTGCTTATGTGTGTCCATATGTGAATATGTTTGTATGTACAGGATTCACAAATATGAATAAATGAGCTTAGCTGATTTAGTAGTTTTGCTTTGGTTAGCTAACTAATGGGTGCACTGAATGCTTGACAAATTAGACTTATTGCATTTAGCTGGAGAAATTATAGGAGAGAGGTATTAGCATTTGGCACTCTGCAAAGGTCTTGGGATATATGCCTTAAAACTCAAGGATCTATTTTGCTTAGTAATTGGCATATAGTTCACAAAAGGCATTACCATAGATTTAAAAATGTTTTAAAAATAATCTTCCCCAAAGTATTTCTAGTGAAAATTATTGTTACATTATTCATTTTCTGCATATATTTTTTAAAAAATAAGTACTATAAATATATGCCAAGTTTCAATATAAATCATTATGATTTCAAGGGGTTTAATCTGAAGGTTGTAATGTAATATACAGATGATTTTTTAAACCACCGTTTCATTGTCATGGTGAGGAAGCATCTGTATGAGTACTAACATTATTATTTTGGTAATTTTAGTCATTGTCCTTGAGGATTTATGTGGATTTACAGGCTGGAGGTTTTTTTCATAATTAGAAAGATAAGTGAATCTTTCTTGAGTGATAGGTAGCCAATAATAAATGCAGCAGAATCAATAGAAGCTATAGGCTTAAGTTGCCCCAAGGTGCTGCACAAATCTTGTTTTTCTTTCAGCCGAAAAAAAAATGGAATTAAGTAAGTAACCCTTGAGACTAGGGTGAATAAATGCATATCAAATGTTGGTACTATTTGATCCTGAGTCATCTGCATAGATGCAGTAAGAAAGGACATTAGAAATTTAAAAATAATTTAGGTGCACACATTTCTATCTAAATTTCTCTAATCCAAAAGATAGTGGGATGAGTATCAACTAATAAAACAGATAGCAAGGCCATCTTCTTCCAGGCAAAATTCTATGAAAAGATTCTTTCATACATATATTTCCATAATTTTAACTTCCCTTACCCTGAAATTGTAATTTATATTAGTGTCTGTTTCAATAAAGCCCAATAAGCAGTAGGTGCTATGTTATAATATGGTGGTCGAAGTTAAAAAGAAAGGAACAAGGAAAGAAGTGTCAATTTCTCCAGCGTGGAAGAAATCACACTATACTAGCAGCCACACACCTGCAGAGGGAGAGCTAGGAGAGGCCAGTGATTTCTTCCCCAGCCCTACTTGTCTCTGGGGGTGCAGTTGCAGGAACGATTAACTTGTGATTTTCTTGCGTTCACAGTCTTTGGCCTTTCAACGCCATGAAGCATATTTCTTGGTAACACCGAGTGCCCAGGAAATGAAAGTGAATCTTAAAGAGCCTGAGGTAACTATGAGCATTTATTAGGTTCTGCTAACTGAGAGAGCCCTGTATCTGTGGCACATAGGGAATGATGTGGGCATGATAAGTTTTGCCTTAGTTAGTATGTTCTACTATGTAGTCTTTTCTCCATCCCATAGATCTATTTTTCTGGATTATTGTGAAGATGACATGAGATAATATCGTGTTTGAAAGAGCTTTATCAACTATCATGAGTTACGTTCCCTAAAAATGTCAGGTTTTGTAAATATTTGAGAAGGCTCATTGTATGGTAAAAACAGCAGGGAACTTGGTGCCAAGCAGGGTCAGATCAAATTCTACCTACTACTATGTTAGGTGCAGAAAGAAAAGGGTAGAATGTAGGTAGGTTCCTTTGTGTGACACAGGAGCCTCAGTTTCGTGGTCTGTACAATGGAGATAAACACTTCCTTTGAGGGTTTGTGAGGGTTGTGTGAAAAAAACATATTTAAAGTACCTAATGGTACGAAGGCACACAGTAGATTCTTAATAAATCCTAGTCTTTATTCTCCTGTCGAAATATTTTTCTACCATTAATCTGGATAATAAAAAAGGCAATTTGAATTGACATTTTACAGTATTATAT